TTTTTTTTTTTTTAACTAAAACATCTATATCGACGCACCATGTCTCGCCATGTCTATTGTACATAAATTATTAATGCTCGTGAAAAGAATCCAAAAATCTGTATTTTCTGAAAAAAAAAAATGCAGAACTCCTGAAATGTCTGCTATGCATCAAGATACATCTTCGGACCTGCGGGTGGTCGACGAGAAGCTCAAGAATATATTAGAGGTAAATTCTTATGCTCATAGTGCAATTATCCGAAACCTCAAGGTTAGTTGTGTAATTATCCCCAACACAGCAACAAATAATAGAAGAAAAAAGAAAGTAATAAAAAAACAGTAGAAATGTCCCCACCATCTCAGGTACCCAACACCTCCGTGAAGAGGAGGCGGGTCGTGGTGGAGCTCTGCAACATGGTGGCCACCCGTGGGGCCCGCGTGGCTGCTTCCGGCATCCTCGGTGTCCTCAAGAAGATGGGAAGGGACACCACTGCAGCCACACAGAAGACGGTTATAGCCATGGATGGCGGCTTGTACGAGCACTACACTGAATACCGTAAGTGTCTCGAGAACACGGTTAAGGAGTTACTAGGTGAAGAAAATGCTGCATCTATTGTGTTTGAGCACTCGAATGACGGCTCGGGAATAGGGGCAGCCCTGCTGGCCGCCTCGAATTCGCTTTACGTTAACGACAGGTCAGCACCACTGTCATCTCCTCCGTGAGACGGTCGGGTGTTTATTCTTTTTTTTTTCAAGGAAAAATGAAAATAAGATCCTGGATGGCACACATCCTGGGATTTTTTTAATTGTTCTTTTCCTGCCATGTTTGAGCATGGATAGGATGATCGATTTTTAATTTTTTTTTTTCCTTTTTTTTTTTACATTGTATAAGTTTTGGGGACCTGGAATTTGTCTCCAGTGAGGATGATTTTTTTTTTTAATTTTTTTTCCCTTTTTATTTGGGGTTCATCAAACTTCATCAAATAACTTTAGAAATTTGCAATAACTTCATCAAACACCCCAAATAATAATATAATAAACAACACTTCTCAAATGAACACTTTAAGGAAAGACTAGAAAGATGCACTAACAAACACCAAATTTTGCAGTTGATCTCAGCAAGCAATTTTACGAATAACTTCCAAGTTTCTCTATTTAAACAATGACCCCTCAAGGAGGTTAAAATTAAGAACAAAACAAAGTTTACTCATTGTACGTTCAATCAACCGTCGAGTTGCTTCCCCTGTTTGTTGCTTCCACCTGCAAAAGAATAACGATCTTAAACTTGAATCGACAGCTTTCGTTATATATATATATATAGTCAACATACGGAACCCCCTATTATACTACAAGCGTCAAAAGCGTACAAAATGTAAATCTGAAACAAACGTTGAGAGCCATCTACAATTGTAGAGATTAGTTTAGTTACATAGACTATTTTCTTAAGGGAGTATGGAATCTAGTTTTAGAATAACTCACGAGAGAATGCTGGTAGTTCAGAGCTTTTCAACACCCGAAGCCTCTTCACAGTTGAGACGAACATGCTGCAAATATTAGTATACTTTATATGAATGCAAGACTACAAAAATTATAGATGTGAGAATAACAAAGCAACAACTCTTTTAGAGTAAACCTCAATATCACATTTGCAACTTATTATAACATGACAAAACTGTAGACACAATATGAAGTATATTCAATTGAGAAGAGATGCTTACTGCCATGGCACATCCCCAACGAGCATCCTGTCACCTTCATTGTCTTCATAAACGAGCGTGTATTCCCGATTCCCATTCAGCAAGCCTCCTGCAACTTTCCTTTCCTCCTCAGCTGAAAAATCACTTTGAGCTACAAAAACAACAATTTTCCTGTTTACTATTTCAACTTTTTAGCTTCCTTGCTGGTTCTCTAACAATAATTTACTTACACTAAAACTGTTCTATTCTATTGTGATCGACCGAACAAACCTGCAAGAAGGCCTCTGAATAGTTCATCCACAGCACACGAGAGTTTGTCATAACTATCATACGCTTTGAGATCCACTTTTCTTCCAATAGGAACCCCATCCATGTTAATCTTGACAAACAGAGTTTTCGGGCGATTATCAGCTGATTTCCCATCGAAATTCTTTCCTGGGACGGCATCTTTTGGGTCAGAAGTCGATTTAGACGAGCTGCCGGTTGCAAGATTCTTCCGGAAGGATCGAATGGGAGGCCATCCCACAACTGGAGTAGGGGCAGTCCTATTGGTTTAAACAAACAGTAATTTCAAAGAATTCTTTTAAACTTTTTAAACTGTTTGCATTGGACTAATCTATTGAAATATTATAATTACTCATAAACATATATTACTAAGACATGACTGACTCATCCATGGATTTGATATTATTATCCAAAAATAATGATTAAAAAAACAAGAAAAAATAAAAATAAAAAAGATAAAAATAAAAAATAAAAACACAAGAAACAAAACAATGGAGGGAGACAGCCCAAAAGGTAAGTAAACAAGAACAAAAAGGATAGAGAAAAGCATATACTTTCACAAAAATTGATATGAACAATCCAAAAGATATTGAAAGCTCAGAACTAAATCTGTAAGAATGAAGAATAAAAATGAAAGACAAATATGTAAAGGTAAAGGACCACATAGTATGTAACAAATGTCAAGTAAAACAGAGGCAACATCCTCTGTCCTAAAGCAGAAAAAAAAATACTAAAAAAAAAATAACAAAAATAATGCTCTGCTAAAAAGATTAAAGCTGAGAGGTACCTTTTCTGGGCACCGCTAGCATTAGGCACAGCTGTATTTGCAGGAGTATTTTTCGAATCAACAGCTACTCTAATGCTACTGGGCTGTGATGATTCATTCGTCACAGCAAGATAGTTGAGATCACCAAGATGAGCTGCTTTCTTAGCTTGGCTTTGCCATGGAGATCTCAAGACAAGGCGGCTTTCAGGACAAGGGCTGTTCCGAAAACATCCGAAATCGCTAAAGTTTCGATTTTTACAGGCGATGTTGCTGTCCGTGACGGCCCAATCGCTGCCGCCTGGTGGGCCCAGGCTCAGCTCAAGCTTCTGATGATCTTCTGAAAGGCCATGGCTTTGAACTTCTGAACTCCCAGCAACAACCAATTTTCTTTCTTTAGGAATCAAATCAAGAAACTGATGACACCCTTGTTCGTCTTTTCTCGAATAGCCCTCCATTTTTAATTTTAATTATGTTTTTTTTATAAATAATGATTAAATTAAAATTTTCAG